CACCCTATTTATCACTCCTGTTATCCTTTAAAGCTGCACCCATTTGCCAGCTTCTCAGAACATGTAAATGAGCATGGGAATGCAGCAAATACTTAAAACTGATGAAGGCATTTTAGACTTATCAAAACCACTTGTGATTTTATGTTTGTGAAAGGTGTGATGTCAAGCTTTGGCATATTATGAAAAATAGATGACAGTACATGAAACTAATTAGACTATTGCCAGGAAACATACACTAAATGATCTTTGCAATGAAGACCCTTTGTCAGTTCATTTCACTCCTAGTAGAGACTGCTGTAGTGTTTTTTCCTGCAGTCAAAACTCCTGATTGACAGATCTTCCATTCACTAATAGTCAATGTCATTTTACACAGTAATCTACCATATCCAGTACAGAGATATGAGCAACTCCAAGTCAGAAAGTAGTATTGCTGGTGGCTGACTGAAACACAAAGACTTCTTTTAAACAGGATAAATCTTTAGCCAAATGTGAATGTTTGCTTAAATTCTTTTTTTTCCCCCACAGGTGTGAAAAAGCATGTCAGTTCTTGAAGGTTGTCTTCTTTCTCATTACTCACTTCCTTGAGACTGAAACTTTGGGGTAGGATACAGTGATGCTGAACATTCTCATCCCAGAGGAGATTTTAATTGACTTTCAAATGCCAAAAGCTGGTCAAATCAAGCCACATGACATGTAGAGGGAATTTCCAGATGATAGAATGGAAACAGGTATGTCGAGGAATGAAAGGTCACCAAAGGAAAAGGAAATCCAGAATAATTCCCTTTATGACTCTCTCATGAGACTTATACAATACTTTCCTTTTTTGGATTTTGTCTTCCTTCTCACAAGACAGGCCATGGGAACTGAGACACACGTCTCAGTGCATGGATATACACACAGGTACACACACAGGCGCACACGTGCACACACACACACACACACACACACACACACACACACATACACACACACAGAATTACTGTTACCATGACCATTCACCCAGCATTTGCAATTGCCCATATAAATGACTGTTGGTACTAAAAAGCCAGCTGTGAATTGTAATTTTGCACATGTTTATGTAATTACCAATGAATTTTAGAAATGTGTGTTTTTGAAGTTTTTACTCTATGTACCTCTATCCAGGTTAGAGCTCAGACTCTGAGAGTGGAATATGGCAATCTCTTTTTAAAATATTACTGTCTGTAGTAATAACTAACAGTTAAAGAAAAAAATGTTTCAGATGGTGTTATAATTGTGTTCTGATTAATGTTATACCAGAAAGAAAGACAGGGAATTTTTTCTGTTACAGCATTGAAGCAGAGATGGGAATGCCAGAAAATGAACTCTGGGAGCACGAGTCTGTAAGTTCTTTAAAGTGAGGAAAGTACTCCTTAATAAAACACACAGCAACCACAAAGCTGCTGATACCATATTGCTTTTGTCCTCAGACAAAAAGGTCAAGAATCCATTAGCAGCAGGCACTGCTAAGAAAGCTGTAAGACCAGTAGCTGAGTGACACAGCAGACCTAGAGAGCCCTGCAGGTGACACAGGACATCTGATAAGAATCAGGCTTTGCAAATTCTAGTCCCATATCTCATTATAGGAATACAACCTTGCTATTGATTAATGTTTCCCAGGGCTCGACTCACATCAGGTGGCAAAGGATCAATAGCTTTCTAGCTTTTAATAAGGCAGCCAAGCTCCTCACTGAGATCTGCACATACAGCCACTAGAAGTAAGTTCCTGTTCCAGTGCTCTTATAGTACTCCTTTTGATGGAGTCAAGTCCTAACCTTCACTGTATCTTCAATTAGAAGTGGCAGGATACAATTCCTTGTTGCTAGGCAGCATACTGCAGCTTTTTTAATGATACTTTGCCCGGCCCAAGCTGTTCTGTCTAGCACACAATAAGTATCTACACTGAGCTAGAAGCTCATTTCTATTTTCCCCTTTCTTCTCCTCCTCCCTACAACCAGATTGTGCAGTTCAAAATGAGGTAGCAAGCCTGGTATCCCTGCATGAACAAATAAATAAATCTTAATACCACAACTACAGATGATGGGAGGTGCTAGATCCTGGCAATTTACTTCACCGGTCTAGAAAATAAGCAAGTGGAGAAATGTCAACACCTTTCTTAAAAGGAAAACTATACAAAGTGCTAATAAAGAGTTAAGCAAATTTGCATTACTGTACTCATGTGGAAGCTAGTGTAACTGCAGGCCGCCCCCAAGTTGTGCTTGGGTGGTCCTCTACAAATTCGTATGCAGCAATTTATCAGTGGAATCTAACAGTGATTTATGCAGCTGTCAAGCTGCCTTCATCAGTACAAGTGAATTGTGGGCACCATCAGCTAATGTGGACTCCTTCACAGTGTCTTAAGTAAATGAGGGCCAAATTAAAAGAAAAACAGCCCAAGGTACCACCCACTCATCTTCTCAGTTCTTTAATGACAAGTTCCCTCTACAGAAAAAACATACAGCGGCTCATACGAGACCACACTTACAGAGACCCCACTGTCTAATCACAGACAGCCTGTGAAAGTCAGCTTTCAGGGCCTTGGTTAGAGCAAGGAGAACAGGAAAGGTTGGCAGGGTTCCATCAAAAACGAAAACAGTATTGATGGCAAATAAAATTGACACAGAACCAAATCAGTTATGTTTTATAATAAATAATGATGCATTATTTTTTCAGAGAATAATATGAATCATCCAATGATGACATAACATATCTATGTAGCATGTGCCTGTGTCTTTGTTTTAAATAAAACCAGTACTGTAGTGGATCTTGCTCCAGCCACAAATTATAGTCTTAGCTGGTCGCTGATCCAGCCTGACAAAATCTGGTGTACAACCACACTGGTGCTTTGCAAAGGGGCAGAGCAGCATCCCTGAGTCATGTGTCAGTGATATGTAAGTTATTTTTGACTAATTAATATGAAAATGGAGTGAGAACTATTTCTTTATTGAAATACTATCCATCAACAAATGGATCAGAAAAGCAGGCATACTCACACATGCACTCTCCCACTTTTTTGGAAAAGATGATTATATGTCCCTACAATATGAGAAGCTGTTTCCAGCAAGACCAGAAATTTGACCACTCTGAGGTCATAATTAATCATCACTGATTTTGACATAACAGAAAACAAGTTTTCTCCATAAAATCACATAATTATACATGAACTTTCTAAGAGTTACTTACATTTTCTTGAGCCAATGGAAAAGAAGGAGCTTGTGAAAATAGGTACACTTTTTCAGCTTTGTAGAGAACATATTTAATATTGCACTTTTCAAGAAGGTAGAATGAAGAAATCACTTGTGGACGTTAGCAGGGTAAAAAGCCATTGTGCCTAAGCACAATGTGTATTAACAGCCCAATTCTGCACAGAACTATCTAAGCCTAGGCAGTCTGGCTGAAGACTAACGTGCTTGCCTATAACAAGAGTAATAATCCCAAGTGGTTCCAGCTGGTAACACCTCCCAAACCATAGTCCCTTTAGAAGAAAACATTCACCTAGAATTCAAACAGATGCTGATCTTGCCCTCAATCTTCTTAACAATTTGCTCCAAGGTCTAGATGAGGGTTGATATGCCATGATGCTTTGCAGGAACCCTCCTGAAGCAGCTGCCATGCAAGGACCAGCACAGGGCATTGAAATCAAGGAAGTGGTGCTTCAAACAAAGTCCTGTGGTAGATGGATGGAGACAGTTGACTTCACAATCATTTTGCCAGCACTAAACTACCTGTGCTGTCAAAGGCAGGAAGAGGACTGGGCTTAAGAATTCCTAAATTAAGGACTTAAGAATTCCTTAATTGTCTTAATAGTCATGCCATGATTACAAGAATATTGTGCCAACCACATTCAGGCTCTGAGAAGATTTGCCACCAAGGACAAATGTATTTAAAAGCCTTTGCCCCATTCTAATACCATGTTCTTTAGTATGTTTTCTTTATCTCTGGTACTGAACATGGTATGAACAGCTGCAGGGGCTGTTATAGTGATTGTGGCCAAATGTCTCTTTTTTAATTTCATTTTTTTATTGTGAACGCCTCTCTCTTTTCATTACTGTTTAGTCTTAAATTAGTGAGCTTTGTCCTTGCCTGAAAATTGCACATATTTCTCTTCTCTCCCTGTTACATCTCTTGGATGTAACAGCACAAAAGAAATCTCCAAGCCATCTTAATTTTAGAATGGTGGTCATTTACTGGACAATTCCCCAGTGACCAGCCACAGAAAGCAAAAAGGAGCACTTAGTGGTGTTTTGAAGCCCACAGAAGCACTGAAGGGTCCTGTGTTTGTGCATTTAGTGTAATGCTAGAGAGGATGGAGGAGTGAGCCATGTGCAAACACCATTGACCAAAATACATCAGAATGCATTCCACAATTACCTTGTCCTCATTATGAGTCTATGTGAAAGATAAACAATGGCAAAGGGCATTTTTGCCATCAAATTTAATAATCAAAAAATTTCTTCCAGACTCTTTTTTTGCTTAACTTATCATCAAATATCTTAATTGTGACACATGAACTGAAAATAGTACTCATCCTACCACCATGAAGATGCTCTCAGGGTTGACCAGATGTTGATAGTTTCAACACCAATATAGAAGTGGGGATATCTGTGAGCTAGGTCTTGCAGAATGGTAAAAACTGCCTTTAGACTCAATTAAATACTTTGGAGCATAATCCTTTTACTAAGTGGTGCTGGCTGATAGTAGGAGCGACTACGACTTATCACTTAGGGTGGGTTCTTATTCAAATTGGTGTCTCATACTTTTATCCAGAAATCCAGAAGAATTGAGACCCTGTAAGAGTGAGTGTCTCTTATAAGCAGAATACTAGAACATATTGGTAGCACAGTTATATGAAGAACAAATTAAAACAGTAACACATTCTTTCCCTTTGGCAAAAGTTGATTAACTTCATTCTTGATGCACCAGAGTAAATAGAGAGTAACCAAATGTTTTTCTACCACAGCATTTTCACATTCCCCAGTCATTATTGTATTTGTAAAAGGTTAGTAAATCAAACTTTAAGAAGAGGAATTTTACTAAAGAGAGTCTGGCTTGTGACTAACCATTGCAGAAGTCAACACAGAATCAACCGTGCCTACAGGATCCTACTGTAGCTTGAGGGATATATTCTGGGCAGCACATTTCCACTGCCAGTATTTCCAGCCATTGTCAATAAAAAGAAGGCTCTCATTAACACCAACACATGGGTCTTACTGCTGTATCCCGGGGCATCCACAAATGTTTGTTGCTGCAAAAGATGAACGAATGTAAGTTATATGGCTCCCACATGTATGTAAGGTATATAGCCCCATGTATATGATGGAATGTAAAATTTTAGGATTCAGTGTTCATACATATCAGATCTGCAATAAAGCAGATATTTAAGAATACACCCAACAATATGTTACACTCTACAGAAGATGAAGTAATATATTAACTTCATTTTGTATTAATTGGAGATTCATATTACTTGTCATTATCATATTTATTCAGGTGTTCATTATTCTCCATTAAAAGAGAAACATTTGCTGTGGATATTGCAAGTGCCATAAATTGCAATTTGGTTAATTTTAAGCATGTTCTTAGCTATCTTGCCAAGTCAGGATTTTGAAAAACATAGATTCAATTTTTAATGACAGTGTAAATCTCTCTGTGAATGAAGAAAAGTGTAAAATGTGTGCATCTGCATGTTTGTCTTGGTGTGACAAGGGTTCTGGGAGCTCAGGAGCATGCCCCCATTGCACAGCAGAGATCAACACAGAGGTCCCTGTAGTTCCACCAGGGCAATAAATTCCAGACCCGGGAATAGAATAGGTGTGCCAGTATGGAGCCATTCTTGGGTGTCCTAGCCTTGTTACAATGTAAGGCTATTTATGGTGGATGTCCAACTGTGCTAATATAGCAGTACTGCCTGTGAAAAAAGAACAAAAGTACAAAACTCAAGCTCATTTGGAAGAGATTCAGAGATCTGTACTGTGAGTCTGCACTGGGTGGTGTGATAGTTTGGGTCAAGCAGATGACATTCAGAGCAGCGTGAATGAGCACATCCTAACCAAGTAGTAGTCACAAACAGTAGATGACCTACAGGAGCTACACTGCAAAGACCTTGAAGAGATGGAGGTCTCCAAAAGAAAAATACTTCCAAGCACTTTATTGTGCTAAATAAAGGCAAATGATTTAAAGCACAGTAGGAAAAGCCTTCCTCTTGGAAAGGAGAAAATAATTTGGCGGCAAAAGCAGATATAATGGCTGAAATCTAACTCACCATGTTGAAAAGATCAAACTCAGCAGCAGAAAAGGAAAAGAGAAATAAAGAGAGTTGAATTCAGCATGGAGTATATTTTCAGGGGACAGAAAAAGATGCCTAATGAAAAAAGTAAGGCCAGAAAAGCTTGTCAAAGTTTCCATACCAAACAATTTGTTCAGCCAGCAGAACTGTAAATCAGAGACTATTTTATTTTTGGCATAGACATAAATGAAACCTTCTAGTCAGGAAAATATTTTTCATTGTGTGCTGCGTAACCTTCTATTCGTAGAGACTTGTTATATCCTAAAAATGTGTCTAGATTGCTATTCTGCAAATCAGTATAGCTTTACCCACAATCTCCTTGCAGCTCTATGGGTATCTCAACATTCATAGCTTCTCTTCCTCATGTTTGTTTTCCACAACATCATATTCAAACCAGAGAAGAAGTTCTGGCAGCTTTCCAGAAAATTAGCTCAATAAAAACATATTTTGCACAACTTCAAAATGGTTTGCACTGTCTCACTAGAAGCAGACACACAGACAGCTGATTTAATCTGTCAAAGGGGCAGAAATAAAGCTGGATATATAAATTTACATCTGAATACAGAGCACTTTTTCCTAAGAACTAATTGTACCTCAAAAGACAAATAAAATGAGAAGAGACTCCTATGAAACTATTTTATGAGTGAATTCCAAAGCAGAAGCAGGATGAGAATACCAAAAATAGTCAGGACTCCAAGTACTTGTTAAGCAGCATTTTAAGTCTTCAATACATTTATTATTTGCACCATGCCACCCTCTCATTAAAAAAACCAGACAACTCCTAATTTAAAACATTTTCTTATTGGAGCAGCTACAGCAGCTCTCATCTGTGTAAATATATGCAGCTATTTTTCTCCATCAGCCCTACTGACTGGAGGTGCTATCCCTTTTTGACAAACAAATCAGATTTAGGTTCATCTTCACATTTCTCCCTATAGTCACAATCTTACCATGATTATTCATGAGGGCTTAGTCCTGGACTGTGTCCTGCTTGTACCTATCACACTGAACACAAGGTAGATAGACTCAGCCTCTGCTGCAGACTTTATTTAACCCAACACAGGCACTTTCAGGCAATTGCAACACAGCCCTTGACCTACACGTGCTGCCTAGCAGGAACTCAATCCCCTAGCAAGACTCTGCACATGCAGTATCAACACCATTCTCATATGCCAAGGGTCTTATGATCAAACAAATGGGAAAGTTGAAAGGCAGATGCTTATGGGAATGTATTTTCATTTCTGTTTCAGTTCCTTATGGCTCATATCAGGACACTTATCTCACCTTTCTCCCCACAAAGCAGACACCACATCCCTCAGGGTGTTTCTATGATGCATTTCAGCTCTCTCACATAGCTCCAGTGGCACAGGACCATTAATTGCCAGAGTGATCCCAGCAACAGCCTGAAATATTACCTTCAGGCAAGCTATATTGCTGTAACTTACCCTAAACAATGAACTTTGCATCAAGACTTGCCCCTCTGTTACTTTACTTTTTCAAGACTGCAACTACTCCCTCAGCTCTGGGCAGATACCACAGTGCCTGAAAAAATACTCTCAATACTGGTCTAAAATGTCAACCCAAATGTAAAATCAATATGAACACCTTTCAATAAGATAGTTTGTCCCTGCTGGAAGTCAGTTGAAGCAATGAAGGAAAATATTTGCTACTACAATTGCAATGTCTGCCTTGGCACATGTGGATGTCTTACTATGCTGGAGAAGACCTGTCAGAAGACTCAGGACATAGAGCAGAAAACTACTAAGTCTCTTCTCTGGGTGAAGAAATGTATTTTGTTAAATCCAGAGCAACTGAGAGAAGTACTGATCCAAGAAGTCACTGATACCTTTCAATTTGAGGAGATTATTTTAGCCCTTCTGCTGGTTTAGAATACCTGCAAAAGTTATTTTGTCCAAAATACAACCAAGATGTCCAAGGTGCTAGGAGGTATTGCAGTAAAAACATTTTATTTTATATGGATATACTTCTCTTTCTAGAGTATATCTCTCCATCTCCAAGCAGGAGCTACATGGTCAGCCTGAACAGTTGCAGGGACAGCCACTAACAGGCCTTCCCTGGCCCCTTGTTATGATCAAAAGAAGAAATTGTTTTCAAAGTTGAACTTTCCATTTCTTCTCAGCTCTTAGACATGAAAACAGAAGTTAAAACTGCCCATATAGGAAAACAAAAAGATTAATTGTGCAACAACACCTGGCTGTCACTTAGGTTATGCAAGGCAGGAGAAAGAATCATGTTTACAGTTTCTGGCTGGTAGAAGTCTGGTTTTAATATTGGTGGTTTACCTTATTTGTCCTTTTAAAATCAACTTCATTATCAAAATCTTGAGATAGAAGCTTTCTACTAAACTTCTAGGGTGAGTAACTATAGGATTGGTGAGTGGCAGCGAAATATACTGAAATTTGACACCTGTTGGGAAACAATTGCTTTTCCAGCCAGGTCTCCAGCTCCATGCTGGAGTGGTGATATGCTCCTCTGTCCTAGCAGAGGCTAATGTCTCAGCTGAGTGCAGACAGGCAGCTCATCTCTTCCAGGTCAGTCTCCCACCCCTGTGGGTAGGAGGTAAAAAGCTCCAAAACAAAGAGGCAAACTTGGAATTTGGTGGCTAAAGACCCTTGTTTTGCTTTCTTGAATTGGAGGAGAGATCACTGCACACTCACAAGCTACTATTAAAACCTGATCAGTCTCGATGTTCTGTGAAACTTGGAAAGAGGCAAGAATCAAAAAGGTATGTTAAACACCATAATTCAGATGACATATTCAAGGTGTTTCAAATTCTGGTGCTGTTTTTTGCCATGTGGAAGCAAGGTCTGCTGGAAGAAAAGTTTTACTGGATCAGCAAAGTCTGCTTCTCTAAGATGCTATGGATAAGATGTAGATTGTTTTGTATGAGCCAAACAATATTTACTACTTACAATATAAAACCAAGATTTTTTTTTATCCCGCTGTGGAACCTTCTTTTTCCCAGGCTGAACAGTCCCAACTCCCTCAGCCTCTCCTTGGATCAGACATACTCCAGTTTTTTAACCATCTCCATTGCCCTTTGTTGGACTTGCTCCAGTATCTCCATGTCTCTCTTGTGCTGAGGAGCCCAGAACTGGGCCCAGCACTCCAGGTGAGGCCTTGCCAGGGCTGAGTAGAGGGGAAGGATCTCCCCCCTTGACCTGCTGTGTACATTTCTCCTGGGAAGCTTTTGTTTGCCAGAAGGATACATTGCTGCCTCAATGTATCCTACCTCAATGTTTGGAATCTACGCCTTAGCCCTTTTCTGCAGAGTTTTTTTCCAGGTAGTAGGCTTCTGCTGCATGTCTGGAGTTGTTCCTCCTCAGGGGAAGGACCTTGCATTTCCCTTTGCTGAACTTCATGAGATCCTTTTGAGATCATTTCTCTAGTCTGTCCAGGTCTCTCTGAATGGCAGCATAGCCTTCCGGTTTGTCAATCACTTCTTCCTATTGTGTTTCATTTACAAACTTGATATGGGTACAGTCTGTACCCATAATTTAGCAAAGATCTTAATCAGCATTGGTTCCAGTATTGATGCTTGATGTACATCACTAGGAATTGGCCTACAACTGGATTCATGCCACCAACCAAAACCTTTTTAGCTCAGGTGTTCAGTCAGATTTCAGTCCATCTCAGCAGTCACTTCTCTAAAACATATTTCAGCAACTAGTCTATTAGAATGCTGTTGAAGAAAGCATCAAAAGCCTCTCTGACATCAAGATAAAAAGTAACCACTAGTCTCCATATGTCCATTGACCCAATCATTTCATCACAGAAGGCTATCTAGTTGGTCAGGAATGACTTCCCCTTCCTTAGTCTCTGCTAACTGCTCCCAGTCATCTTTTGTTCTAAATGGTTAGTAGTTAAATATTAATTGAAAATTAACCAGAAACTTGAGAAATCAATAGTGTCAAATAACTATGTCCTAGGCTTCATAATTTTTACTACATTATATGCCAAGTCAATATTATACAGCTATTTCAAGTAATTTTCTATAGCTGATCATTCATTTTATTCTTACCTCCATTCTCTGTGCTTCTCATGGACTTCCTCTTCTGGCTCAATACATCTAATTGCTCAGCTACAACTAGAAGATTGAAGAGTATTTCTGTAGTATTTCAGCCTGCAGTGGGTAAGAAAATAAATGTGTCTTTACTAACACATTTTAAAAAACCTCAGGAAGAAAATGGTATTTGGTTCAAAGCCTTTTAACTTCTGAAGAAATGATCGAGATAGGCTGTTGTTTAGAAGGTAATGACCACCATCTTTTATCTCCCAATTTAACAGTTGTACAGAACTATTTTAATATAAAATAATGTCTGCCACTCTTGTTCCAAGCTCCATTCTCGAAGGGCAGGTATTTTCTGCAAATGCCTAATTTCATATGCCTTCACATGCCTTTGGTTTAATAGTGAATGAGTGGTCTTTGCTGTTTAGACCACAATTTTTCTATGTCCATCATATCTAAAATATCCATGAACATTCACCAATATGTGCTGATATGAACTATGAGCATTACAACAGCATCAAGGGCAGAAGATTTCTAGGCATCTATAAGTATGCTGTAGTTGGAGGAAGTTTCAGAGTTTTGGGTTTGGAAGCACCTCAGTTTTAATCTAGGCACCAGAATCCATTTGGATATATTGTCACTAGCTTGGAAACACACTGGGATATAAATATGAACTTGAATAGGCTGTGCTTCTTCATTTCATTTACCAAAAGACTTTTTTTCTCACATGGGTAATGCAGCATTCAAATGACTATTTTAAAAAGTAAAGTCACAACACACAAAGCCTTGTTCTTGAAACAGAAGGTAATGAATGCTGCTAGAGGTCCTTCCATGTATTTCAAACTGTGCTAAAAACAATACTGGTCATGTCTTGTACAAGAAAGTCATCCTCCTCATGCTGCTTGTTCTCTAACTGTAACCAAGACAAGTGAATGCTCTGTTTCTTATCAGAGTGCTGATATCTGTTCCTTCTTTCGGAGAGTTCATCCAGCTGGTTTATGGCTCTCACAGCTCAGCTAAGAGGGTGGGGGAAGGGGATTAGCCCAACAGTTACAGTAAATTACACACATTCATCGGCCCCTTGACTTCTACACTGAAGTTCTTGCCTTTTATGGCAGATGTAGGGAAAATGATATAATGGTATGCCATACAACATGTACAAAGAGAGCTGAGGATGTATTTCATATATCTTTGCAAGTCTTGGTCTGCAAACTTTTCTTAGGGAATTTAGAATTTACAGTCTGATAAGCAATTTCACTACAAAGGATAACTGAATCTCTATCAGCAGCTACATGCTCTGTCAGAGCAAAAAAACCAGGAAAGGATAGAAAATTATATGATAGGAAAAATTAGGGGGGGAGGGAGGGAAGGAGGGAGGGAGGGAGGGAGGGAGGGAAAGAGGGAGGGAGGGAGGGAGGGAGGGAAGGAAGGAAGGAAGGAAGGAAGGAAGGAAGGAAGGAAGGAAGGAAGGAAGGAAGGAAGGAAGGAAGGAAGGAAGGAAGGAAGGAAGGAAGGAAGGAAGGAAGGAAGGAAGGAAGGAAGGAAGGAAGGAAGGAAGGAAGGAAGGAAGGAAGGAAGGAAGGAAGGAAGGAAGGAAGGAAGGAAGGAAGGAAGGAAGGAAGGAAGGAAGGAAGGAAGGAAGGAAGGAAGGAAGGAAGGAAGGAAGGAAGGAAGGAAGGAAGGAAGGAAGGAAGGAAGGAAGGAAGGAAGGAAGGAAGGAAGGAAGGAAGGAAGGAAGGAAGGAAGGAAGGAAGGAAGGAAGGAAGGAAGGAAGGAAGGAAGGAAGGAAGGAAGGAAGGAAGGAAGGAAGGAAGGAAGGAAGGAAGGAAGGAAGGAAGGAAGGAAGGTTGCCTTCATTATGCAAGAGTGCAAGCACAGTCCATTAAATTCTGCTTTTTATGTCAGTAGCAAAATTATCATTAAAGCTGTGATTTTAGTCTGGGCCTGTGCTAGAAAATGAATTTGCATAGCAGTTATTGTTTCATAGAAGAAAAATGAAAAGTGGGTTTTAAATGAAATGATAGTAGAAAGACACCATTGTCTTTATGTGGAGTGGGCTATTGTGAAAGAAGGTTACTGAATTAAATCCTTAGCAGTGTTTCCAGATTATAATGTGAGTTTTGTGAGGGATGGGAGATTTCTCTTGATACATTCTGAGTACACTTTTGTGTTATGAAATTCTGATCATCTGCCTTTCTCATAGGACTTCAGTGGAACATCTCCAATATTTGCTAAATATGGAGTTGGCCAAATAAAGTTGCATGGAACAGCAAAATGAGGATTATCACACCTAAATGTGTGAGCATTTGGGATTTCATCCAAATTAATGCAAAGTTGTACAGTCCTGATTCTCACCTCACACATTTTTTATGACAAGGTTGTTATGTTATAAATCAGAAATTATTTATTTTCCTGCTAAATATTTTGCATAGATACTAGAAACTGAATGCAATAACCACTACCACTTAATGCATCTTCTGTTGAGGGAGCACTAACTCTCAGTACTAAACCCTCAAAACAGTTTTTCAGGAAAAGTAGAAGTAATGCAAAGATTATCCATACACTTTGTGGTGCCCTTGATATGTGAGTAGGCTTTAATTCCATAGAGCAGTTTAAGTGGATGAAAAAGGAACATATTTAGGTTGCCTGACTGCTATCAATAAATGCAGAAGTGCCAAGCTATGTAACATAAGACTCTTGAGAAAGTGTTAATGAAGTACAACTGGTAAGTTACCAATACTTTTCACCATACCAGTCACCCAAACATGGTATAAGAAACTTTACCTTATGAAAATAATTAACAAGATTTTTTAGGTGAAATTACTGATTCTCTCAAGTCTTTCCCACTGTCATCTTCCATAACCCTTCTCCTTCAAATGATGCTATTCATTATTGGCTGTATCCTTATGTAAGTTGAACCAACCCAACTATACGGATTCTGAATCTTGCCTTGGATTCACAAGAGGATTCGGGTGAGGGGAAGCTACATTTGCTCAAATCCATACATTTCTACACTTTAGGATCTGCAAATCCTGCAAATTTTCTGACACAAAGTCAGTAAACCTGTTCTGCATAAAAACAAGGATGTTTCACACAGCTCTGTTACACTACCTTCCTTTTTCAATGTAGTAAATAAAATTTTCTTTATCTCTTCTGCACTCTGAAAGTTGACTGAAAGCAAAGATTTGTTTTAGGCTAGCTTTGATCAGAATGCTTATCCCTCAGTAAAACCACTTAAATTTCTCCACTGATATACTCTAGCCTGAAGACTAGAGTATATCAGTGGAAGGTTGGAAGACTTCTAAAAATGCTAATTGGAAAGAATGTCTGAAGGTCATTGAGTCCAGTCTCCACCTTAAAGAAGGATTATTACCAGTGCTAGACCATGTCAACCCCCTCTCTACTTTTCTGTTATTTTTTGAAAGTCAGTTATCCGATGGTATCTTGCAGCTATAAGATAACACAGAAGAAGAGAGAAAAACTTACTGTAAAAAATCTAAAGACAGTTTATGTTTACTTTGGTCTTGATTTTAAAGGATTTCTTATTCTCTGTCATCCAAGAGTTTCTGTGTTCAGTGAAAAGCAAATAGGGAAAGGGCATGTCAAACATGCTTCAGAAGGCTGCAGAGAGAATAGTTGTAAGCGTCCACTCCAGAGTGCAAAAATGAAAAATAAAACTATTTAATTGATGTGGGTTAATGTATGTAATAAGCTACAGTTACTGGGTCAGCAGAAAAACAGGCCTTCTTAAAGATTTATATCCTGCATTAATCATTTATTGTTCTTTTGGAAGAAATTACCTAACCCAGCACAGGACAGCAAGAGTGAACAAGCCATTGCCCACAAACCTTGGCAGAAATCTTGGAATGAAAAATAGTAGAAAACACCCCCTTGACCCTTTTTCCTTCAAATAATCAGTTTCATCTGATTAAGGAATGCTGAAGAATGGTGAAAAATTCTCTGTTTAGAAATCTGGAATTGTGATGGGTGGCAGCTGAAGGATTGTAGCTTCCTTGTGAAAGCTTTCCTTGGAGATGGCTGGCACTGCAGTGCAGGTTGGTATGTGCTGGTCAGACACATGTCACACTTCAGCAGGACCAGCAACAACCTAAAGGAGGAAAAAACTACACAGCACTCTGAAGGGTCAAAAAAGCAAAGCAAACTTGCGGCTTTGGTGGCAAAAATGTCAGTCTTTCCAGAGAAGGCAACAGAATGGTGATCAGCAGAGCTGCACTGAAATACCTTGGACTCTTGCAGTTCTCTCCTGCGTCTTCATTCTAAGATATTCTACCTTCAGCAGCTGCTCCAGGTAGACTTTGTGTGACCTCTGACTAGTCCAAATCATCTATCTCCCCATCCTTCCAGACAGGAGGCAGGATTGACTTGAATAAAGTCAATCCTCTCCTACCAGAAAAAAAAGCAGAGTTGTGTGGGGCTGCTGGGGACAGCTGTGGTGTCTGGTGAAAAGGACAAGGCATTGCCAATGTCACCTTCAGGTGGTAACTAACTCCATGCAGAATTAGTTTGATCTGAATCATTCACAGGTAGCTTTGTGGATGTTTTAGTGATAAAGGATTGCTGTAGATTACCAGATAGAGCAAAATGGGAGAAAAAATTATGGATTTGCAGAGAACTGCAAATTGGCAATGAAATCAGAGCTCTGAATTCACAAGCATATAACTTCTACCTTATTGTTCCATGTATTTGTACCTAATGAATACATACACCAATACATAGCCTTGCAGAGTATATTCTTGTCTGTACCCTAAAAGTGCTCAGAGCACTCTATATCTGTATTTAGCTTCTCAGGATTAGCAGTGAGTTATTTTGAGGTGTCTTGAATTCAAGAATGTTAGAGATGGTTGGGGGCTCCTGTGAGTCAAGGATGTTAAAATTCATAGCTCAGGCATGAAGCATGTGAATCCTCCCCAGTTTAGTTTGAGGGCAGCAACAGGACAAAGGGCTTGTCATACATGCTGAGTCATTGGAAATACAATCACATGAAAGTAGAGTAGCCTATGTAACTGATGTTAGGGTCATATCTTGTTTCTGATGTGTTTCAGCTGGTCCTGTTCTGTAAATACAGAGCAGAGCAGCTGCTTTTCCAAGCTTCCTAGAATGCTGTATAGCCAACACAGATGGAATTCTAGAATAACTTTACCTAGAAGGTCCTTTAAGCATAACAATTCACCATAGGTCCTCTTCAGCTATGTAACTTCCACATTCACGTGGCCAGCAGAAAGAGCTAGGCATCCAAACAGAGCATTACAGTCATATAGTATTGCCTTCTACAAGCTAGGAAAACCTTGCTCAATAACTTCTGCACCAAGATTATAGTTTCTGTTTGAGCTTTATGCATATCTTTTAGAATGACTCTCCAGTTATGACTCTTAACACACAGGTTAAGAAAAAATATCACAGCTTGAAAAAATATCACTTGTCCAAATCACTCCAAAGCTTAGGCAATTTATCTTTTAAAGATTTCTGTTTCTTTTTTTCATCTGCTTTCATCTGTCTCATCCTGGTTTTCAGACACTTGATCTCAATGTGATTTTTTTCTGTTAAATCAGATCTGTCACACTCTGAAGTATTTTTCCATGTAAGCATTTCTAGTCTGGAATTAATTCACTTCTAAATTTTTTCTTGGATAAATAAAATAGAATAATTTTCTTAAGTCTTAATGTGTCAGGTATGTTTTATAGACTCTTTTGAGCTTATAAACTTATGATCTTTTTCCTATTTTTTTCTTTTTCCAGTTTCTTAGTGTCATTTTGAAGTGAGTACACAAGGTTTCTACTTTGGTTAAGCTCTAATTCATGTTGGAGACAGAGATAATAGCCTTTTTCCTATTTTGATTGCCTCTTGCCTCTGCAATAAGGATGGCATTCACAAACTTAATTGCTTTGTTGTCATAAGAACACATGGTTCATGGACTGCCCAATATGATATTTATGTGTTTTTCAGATTGATCCACAGGGTAAATTTCCATATTTTTTGAGGAGATTGCATCCTTAGTGTTTTGCTAGCATTATGAACCAGTACTGATGTATTGCTCTATGTACTAGCTGACTCTTATCAGTACATATGGATGATATAACCAACACAGTTATTTACAAATTCCTCTTCTAGTATTCTTCCCTACTTTCACCTAGCACTGTTCTTGTAAGCTCTTCAGTCTGAACATACAGTTCAAAAGACATGGAGCATTCCTTGGTCAAAATTAGAACTCTGAGTAGCATACTGGGAAAAATCTTCTAGCATACTGGATTCACATGTTCGATTCTTTTCAAACAGCTTTCAATAAATACCTATTATAATCTCCCTTTTTAATACAGTCCTAAGTCTGGAATGTGCTTCTTTTATCTGCACACCAAATTAGACCCACTCAATACTCTGTTGTTTCTCTTTACTATCCCTGCAACCATAAAAATGAAAAGCTCATGCAGATTCTGCAGCATCCTAAGTGTGCTTATTGTCTACAGCACACAAATGTACCAGATCCAGCTTCACAGGACTTTGGCTAGTCTGCTGAGAGCTACCATTTTCTGCACTAAAAATAGTAGATCTTAAACTGGCTGATGTGCTACTAAACTGCTTAAATGGCTTTTGCCAATTCTCACACATTTTACTTATGGATGTCATGGTAGCATAAAACAAACCCTAGGGCTGTTTTGGGCAACGCTGGTGAAAAATTATCATGATAATGATGATGATAACCTAGCAACACTCTTACCTCTCACAAAAATCAAATTTCATCAGAACACTAAGATTAGGTTATGAGGCCTGTTATCAAAACTATCATTAATTATTTGCCATAATAAACCTTCTTCAGCTTCACTCAACACCTACACACAGGTACCCATTTATATATATATACTCTGATTATCCTGTTTAAATTTACAAATATTAGCATCAAATCAAAATTTTCAGTCCTCTGCTACTCTCTCAGCATTGGTTTATAGGAAAATCAGCATTAGCAGGGTAGAAGAGCTTCTTACAGCTAGAGTGTTGTATTAATTTCTTCCACTTTGTATGTCTTATGTGATCATTTCACTGTGCAAAAATTTTTTAGAATTCCTCTCTTTACCCAACCACATTCATCAGAAATTTTTTAAACCAATACTTTCAGCAAGGTTTGGTATGTCACCTCCTGTATGTCACAGAGCTCCTGCATCAGAGAGAGTGGGGCCCTTGGCACAGGGCTGTGTGTGTATCGTGTCACTTCACTCACTCACTCACTCACTCACTCACTCACTCACTCACTCACTCACTCACTCACTCACATCTCTTCCTGCAAAATCCAGTGGCATCAGCTGCTCTGATCTCTTATCTGTCATAATCTAAGCTTCAGGGCATCCCTTGATTTTGGTAAACACGCTGTGATCCAGCTGCTTACCTAACCCAGTTCACACAAAACTGTACCCCTGCACTGTGCTGAAGGCATAATGGACCACAGATCCATACACTCTCTAGCCATGTGAGAATAGCCATCAAAAAGAGATGCCAAACCTGCCGTTCCTGTGACTGGGTAGAAAATGTAAGTACATAAGTACAGTTCCTATGTGGCATAAATTAATTCTGTACAAGTCATGTTGCTTATTTCTACCTGTTTATATTCTTTTGGGGTTTTGCTTAATCCCATTGAGAATTAAGTACAAGCTATGCTTTTAAACCATAGCTTCAGATGATTCCTATGAGTCATTGTTCTGAATAACCTTTGAATGGAAAAGTAAGGGCCACATAACATACCTGATGTGCAGTTCTAGTGAACCATATTGGAAAAGTGAACAATTTTATGAGTCAATACGCTGATTCTTTAGCCAGAGACACTGTCAAATCCCATCTAAGATGGATGGTAGATCAAAGTGATTGAAGGCTCAGCAAAGTGAAGGTTAACCACACCTCTAAAATGCTTTGATAATACATTAGTTGCTTTGTTTAGTTTTTCTAGCAGAGATTATCTTACATAAACTCAATTAAAAACACAAAGATAAATTATTGTGAGGATAATATAAGTATTTAAAAAGTTATAAAATAGTTTTTGTCATTAGGTTAAGCATATTACGCTAATAATTCAGAGCAAATTTTAAGAATATTTTTTTCAACTAGAGGAATCAGATTAATTTTAAGATGTAAAATAACAAAGACAGAGATCACTGTTTCAACTGTAAGGTACATTTGGTTAAAATCACACATATGTGATTGCACCTCTTCTACAAATAACATTTCTTGATAAGAATGCATTAAGTTTTAAGTTTAGTATAGAATGTGATTTCTTGAGGCTTGTGAATACATCTTTTCCATCTCAAGCTAATACTCCGGGATAGTTCAGGTACAGAGTATGAGTTCATGATAACTGTCTGTGCACAGTATCCTGGGTCGTGACATAAGAATCATGTTTTCACATATGATGCACTTTGGAAGGAGAATGTGCTCTGAAGGATGAGTTTAACTTGCAGGATTAAAGGAAAACTTCTTGTAAGAATCCAGGAGAATAAAGCAAAATAATTGGTTGCCATTTTATTAAACAGAATAAGCTGCCTTCTTTTTAAGACAATAACTTCCCTTTTTTTTCCCAAATACCAACCTGATTACAGGATTTTGCAAACTTTGAACGGAACTAAAAATCTGAAGTTTCTCTTGGGAAAGCTTACATTAAAAATTTTAGTGTGTTGAACCAGGGAAAAACCTTTCATTTGGAAGCAGTTTGACAACACACTGTGGCCAAACTCTGTGGCTTTCAGAAAACTGTGTTTTAGTTATATATGTTTTAGTTATATGACCCATCTGCTCCCACACAACAAATGTATGGCTGTGCTACATTACCTATCACACACGCTAATCTGACTGGTCCCTCATGGCATATCACAGAGGGATTGTATCCATTATGCATCCCACCAAAAGGTCCTGGCAGATGGGAGAGGATATGTGGCAGCTGAACCACAGTTTCCATGAAGCACCACAGCAATGCAGAAAGTTTTTAATGTTGGATGGAGCAATAATGTTATGTTTCCCATAGGGAATGTAGAAAAAATTCCTTTTGATTAAAAGTGTTTTGATATTTCCAAATTGAAAGAACTGAGCCAGACTTCATCCCAACCTCCCAGG